TCTCTTAGTGCACAGAAAGTGCCCAGAGCTGGAGGAACCATAATAGCAGGTGCATGCAGGATAGATTGCTGGGGACCATGTGTTATCAGAATCACCCAATGGGGGCATGTGTACCATTCATGTTCATTATGTGAAGGCATGATTATACCCAACACAGCAGGAAAGACCAGAGGCATTTCTCACTCTACAGATAAATCTATAGAATGGTTATATTCATGGGATGGCTGTCCCTGGTAGGTTTATTGACCTTTGAGTTCACAAAATGAGGTCATAGAGCAAACAGGAGAGGAACAAAAGTCAATGGGAGAAATCTAGCTCTATGATCACTGGCTGACAGGAGCTGGTTTACGTTCCCCAAGGAGTCCTGGTGGCTCAGTGGGTTGAACATCGGGCTGCTAATCACAATGTTAGAGCTTCAAACCCATCCACTGCATGGGAGAAAGATGAGGCTACTGGCTCCCATAAAGATGTACAGTCTTGGAAACCCAAAGGGGCAGTCCTGCTTTATCCTATAGGGCTGCTATGAGTCAGAATCGCCTCAATGGCAGAGGGGTACTTTCCAAATGGAACATAAGTAGAAGCTTCATGATGCACAGAAGCAACGAAATGGTTACACTTGCAAAAGAGTTATGTGGAAGATCATAAAGCCAGCTTTTCTTGTTAAAGCAATTAAGGCCCTTAAAATTGCATCTGTATCTGAAGTGGTACAGAAAGTGCCAATTGTTTAAATTAATGCTTTTGATGTGAATATGGTTAATGAACGTTATTTTTGGAATATTAAATGTATACAATGATTCCTAAGGTTCTGGTATTGGAGATAAGGGCAAAGACCACAGACTCCACATCCAACTGCTTCAGCTCTCCGCCCCATTAAATGTTACAAAGATACCCTGAATGAAACGAGTTCAAGACTCAACCTCCCCATCTGTGTTTCCACCAGGAATTGCTGGTTTGACTACAGTGAAAAGTCCGACGGGGTCATGGACTGTCCAAGTCTCCAGGGGGCTGGTGAAGGTTAAGGAATTTGACTGCTAATTGAAAGTTTGGAGGTTCAAATTCACTCAGACGCATCTTGGAAGAAAGGCTTGGTGAGCTGTTGCTGAAAAGTCAGGCAATGACATTCCGACGGATTTCCTCTGACACACAATGGGTCACCTTGAGCTGGAATTGACTTTACAGTCATTCATTGACAGACCAGGAAAGGCACATAAGGGAATGCGGATGTGTAGGAGATGGGCATTGATTTTATCCACATCGAGTGAAACCAGGACAGCAAGCAGAGTATTCCATGGACACTGGAGTTACAAATCTGAGGAGATGGATCTGGGTTGGGCATGTGGATTTGGGATCACCTGCATAGCCTTGAGAGATAAAGGGAAAGAAAGAAGCACCACAAAGGCTGATTGAGCGGGAGCTGGAGAACTGCACTGGGTTTCAAAATCAAAGGAACCCTGCTGGTTCAATGGTTAAGCACTTGGAATACCTGAAACATCAGCTATTTGAACCCACCATAGAAGCAAGACTTGGCAGTTCGTGCTCATAAAGACTTCATCTCAGAAAACCCCATGGGGCAGTTCTGCCATCAGACAGGTGGCACTATGAGTGCCCCACAGGACTAGCATCACAAAATCCACAGGAAGAGGGCAGTGCTAAGAATCTCAATAGATGAGGAATGAGAGACCTTTGAGAGGTTCAGAAATGTGATACTTACAAGCCAAGTTACTTTGGGAAAAAGGTGTACACACTCTGCCTCTCACCTGTTTCTCAGGTAAGTTGTCAACAGCCCTGGATCTGACCTTTCCTGTCTTAAATTGAGGGTATTCCTAGGTAAACTCTTCTACATTCTAAGACTGAAATAATAAATGAGTAAAACTGACCTTTTCATGTCATTACTAGAAATAATTTTGGTAGCTGAAGGGAGGTGAGTATTGACCCACCTGAGACCCAGATGGCACAGTGGTAATGCATTGGACTGCTCACTGCAAGGCCGGAAGTTCAAAGCCACTAGCTGTTCCATGGGAGAAAGACAAGGCTTTCTGCTCCTGTAAAGAGTTACAGTCTTAGAAACCCACAGGGAGAGTTCTCCCCTGTTTTACAATGTTACAATGAACTAGAATCAACTCAATGGCAGTGAGCTTGTTACTCACTTAAAGATATTTTGCTGTCAAGGGGAGACTGTGTAATAGATTATCTAATAGGAATATTAATATGAAGGAAGGCATCCCTGGGTGGTACACATGGTTAAGTGCTCTATTAGTCACAAGGTTGGTGGTTCAAATCCACCCAGAGGAGACAGGCCAGGCAATCTGCTTTCAGAAGGGGACAGACTTAGAAACCTTATGGAGTGATCCTACCTTGATCACATGGATCACCACAAGGCAGCCAATTACCACACCGATGCACAGGAAAGCTATTGAAGACCGTGAAGAATTCACTCTTTGGGATGACTTTGATAATATTTTGTTGTTGGTGGTTTTTGACTTTGATCATTTTTACACTGGAATACCATCAAGTGAAGAGCTGTAGGAGACTTGGCATTGGGGTTGTCAGGTGTTTAGTTTTGACCCTCTAGGATTGTACCTGACTTGCAGTTCTGCCGAGTCTGAGTGCCCTTGTTCTTTGATGATATGTGCTAGGTCACAGTAATGGTCACAATGGGGCTCAGCAATGTATGGGGGGGGGGGGACATATTGTGGATGTCACATTCTTGCAAACGACACGCTGCCCTGGTAAATCTGTGGCATACGAACTCTTTAGAATGTTGAAAATCAGGGATGTTACTTTGAGGACTAAGAGGTGCCTGAAAAAAGTCATGGTATTTTCAGTCACCTCATATGCAAATGAAAGTGGCCATTGAGTAAGGCAGACAGAAGAGAATCAATGCATTTGCATGATGGCACTGGAGAAGAATGTTGAAGGTACCTTGGCCTGACAAAAGAACAAACGGATCTGTCTTGAGCAAGTACAGCCAGCCAGAATGCTCCTGAGAGGCAAGGATGGGGAGATCGCATCTTATATACTTTGGACATGTCAGGAGAGAGCAGTCCCTGGAGAAGGACTTCGTGTTTGGTCAAGTGGGGGGGCGGTGAGAAAGGGGAAGGCCCCCGAGGAGATGAATTGACACAGTGGCTGCAATGATGGGCTCACCCATGGAAACACCTGGGAGGGTGGCGCAGGTCCAGTGTTTCATTCTGTGGTACATACGGTTGTTATGGGTCAGAATTGACTTGATAGCACCTAACAACGACAACAACAGTACTGTTGATAACTGTATTATTTCCTAAACATTGCCAAGCTCCCCCTCTCCCAACTCCCCAATGAAACCAACCGATTTTAAAGAGAGTAAATGGCTTAAGGCAAACCGCGTTGGTCAAACACAAGGAAGCTTCAATAAGTTCATGGAAAGTGGAAGTAAGGTATTAATATAATTATTCCATGAATGGTTTGAAAACTCCCCTCTTCGTCTGAAAGTCAAGGGAAGATCTGTGTCAGTGGTGAAGCATTTTGCCAAGCTGATGCCAAATTCTAAGCCAGTGACAGATCCTAAGAATTAGGAAATTATTGCTTTATAATGAATATATTCTCTATGTAGTTTTTTTTTTTTTAATTTCCACTTAAGATTTTTGTCCTTCAACATAACTCACGATACATTTGTTGGCTGGGATATTCACATTCACCAAGGTCTAGCAGGGTGGTTTTAAAACTGCATGCTACAGTGCTCTGATGGATACTCACTCCAACTGTAAATAGCTTTTATCTGATGTATGCCTCTAGCCTGAGACATCTAGAAGAGAATCGAATGCTGCATGACTTCTTTAATTCAGCCAGAAGGGTGCAGCTGTTTGCCTTATATCTGATGTAAGTTTATAGCAGCAAAGGGAAGGTTCCAGTGGGAGCGGGGGTGGTGGGGATTAATGCAATCACCCAGAATTAATCATGGTATTGAAACAATTATTTCGGAATAAGTTGAAAGTTGAAAAAAATGCTCTTTACTAAAGCCACATTATTCACACAGACAAAACTTTTGATAGCAAAACCCTGGAGCAGGAGCAGGAGTAATTTGAATGCTGTGTGGATATAGAAGATATTTAAAAAAAACCAGAAGTGGTATCTTCCAAAGGCTGTCATAGGCACAATATACTTGATGGGATTGGGGTTGCAAGCATGATACTAGAATTCATTACATGGGATCCCAGAAGTTGCAGAGTTTTCAGCACTGTTTTGGGCTACAAAGACACAAGTGAGTCTCATAATGAACTCTTGTGCTGAAAAGCGCGTACTAGATTACAAAGTAGGACTAGCAAGCCAACCCAACAAACAACCCCGTAGGTTTTAGAAGACGTGATGCCTCTGTGTCTTTTTCATATTCCCTTTCTAAGACTGGCTAGTGAACCTGGCAAGTGCAACCTTGAAAGACAGCATTGACAAGCTCAAAGTTCAAAAACAAAACTTGAGCTTGAACCTAAGTGTGAGGTCTTGCCTTATCAACATTTTGGCATAAAAATCTTTATGCATAACAGTTTTTCAAGTGAGCTGGCAGCCAAGGAAACAAAGTCAGATGGAGGATCAACACTGACTTTTGGTTTGAGGTAATTATAAGGAATATTGTCTCCCAAGGCTCAGCAAATCGATTTGGCCTTTTAGGTGGGCTTTTCTTATTTTTCTCCCTACTTTTGTCATGGTGGGCTGAAATGTGTATCCCCACTGACCAAACATTCATGCTGATAAGGGGGAGGCTCTGGTCAGAAAGAACAAAGTTGTACATTTGTCAGGGCACATGGGTACTCCAGATTGAAGGAAGCTAAAAGGTAAACATGTACATCTCAGCCTCCAAGATATTTCATTTTTCAACTAGGAATGAAATGTAAGCATTACAGTGAGTCATGCAGTATTTTTATCTATCAATGATTGAGTTAGTGATATGAGCGCAAATTATTTTTCCCCTTTAAACCTGCAATGCTCATCAGTCATATGGAACTGAAATCACACACAAAAACAAATCATGAAGAGACAGACATTCAATGCTCCAGAATGCCCACAGCAGCGTGCCAGAAACTGCTGTCCACAGCACAGGGCACTAGGGGCCACTGCAATGCCTGAGTCTTTAATGCTGCTTGTTTTTATTTTTGAACATGAGAGGTTCGGGGCATTGGGGGAATCTGTCTCTCTGGAGGTTAGCCCATAATTTCTGCAGGTTCCGTGACCAACTTGGATCCATCCCACGCTGTCTTGAACTGTTCAGGAACTGGAAATTCTCTCTGGAAGAAGAACAAAACGATTTCAACAACGGAGGCTTCCTTATGAAGACAGGTGGGCCTCCAAATGCTATTGGGTCAACTCCAACACAACGGAAACCCACTGGCTTCCAAGGCTGTAAGCCCTATGGAATCTGATCACCAGGTCTTTGTCTCTCAGAGGGACTGGAGGGCCCTAACTTTTCAGTTAGCAGTAGAATGCTTAATCACTGCACCACTAGGGCAACCCTGCAAGTCGCACCCCAAACTGACACCAACCTCACTGCCATTGAGTCAATTCTGACTCACAGCGCAACCCTGTGGGTTGCCAAGACTGCAACTCCTCATGGGAGTAGAACGCCCTGTCTTTCTCCAGCAGAGTGGCTGGGGGTTTCGAACTGTTGACCTTGCGGGTCTAACGCCTAACCACTATGCCACTAGGGCAAGCAGCACAGTAAAGGGAACTATTGAGTCCTAAATACCATGAATGCAGACGCATGGATTCCTTCTTGTCGATAAAAGCTAGCCTCTTAAGGGATTTATTAGGAAATGGCTTTGTGCGTCGCAGATCCAGGACTCAGCGGAATCCATCAAGCAGCCAACAGAAGAGGGATTGAAAGGCAGTTCTAAGAATTCCTGCCCTGCCTGTGAGCCATTGTATCCACAGAGCTCGGAGCTTGGGAGTTGATTCATCTGACTAAAGGAGGCTGCAGCACAATTCGTGGTCACCTTCCCCAACATACTCACGTAGTCCCCGTCCTGAGGGATCAGGATGTTCATTTCTGAGGACGTGGCACTCACAATCTCACAGTCCAGGGCGTCTTCACTGAGGTATATGTGGCACCCTTCGGTCTTGTTAATGGAAATGGTTGGCACTTTCCCCATGACCTGAAGATGAGAAGAAAAAACAGACGAACAAACTGAGACCGATACCAAGTAGCAGGCACCCTTCGGAACGGTTGCCAGTTGCCACTTGGACTGGTTCGCTCTGCTCCATCTTCGTGCTTCCCGGTGTACTGGCTATTCCATGGTTGTGCTCATCTGACCAGCAGACACTGAAACCGCTGGCTCACAGGGGGGCCACTCCCATGCCCCCAGGGATCACCATGAGTCCGAATCCACTGGGTGGAAACTGGTTGTTAATAGAAATCATGACTGATTACAAGGATCTACATGTAACCTCCTCCCTGGGGGATGGACAACAGAAAAGTGGGTGAAGGGAGACGTCGGACAGGGCAAGGTATGACAAAATAATAATTTACAAATTATCAAGGGTTCATTCGGGAGTGGGGAGCGGGGAGGGAGGGGTAAAAATAAGGAGGTGATGCCAGGGGCTTGGGTGGAGAGCAAATGTTTTGAGGATGATGAAGGCAAGGAATGTACAAATGTGCTTTCCACAACTGATGTATGTATGGATTGTGATAAGAGTTGAATGAGCCCCTAATAAAACGATTAAAAATTTTTTAAAAACAATAGAAATCACGTTGAGTTGATGCCAACTTATAGCGACTGTAATAGGACAGGGAAGAGTTGCCCCTGTGAATTTCTGAGACTGTATCCCTTTAAGGGAGTAGAAAGCCTCTTCTTTCTCCCGTAGCGAGGCCACCAAGAAGTAAAACCCATTGATCCCTTTAGTGGGGGCTTTCGTTTGGGCGCCACCAAATGTTAGGTATCAGTGGGTTGAGCACAGGGCTGGAGGCGGTGGCGGGCGGGCAGGCTGGTTAGTGGCAGTGGCAACTTTTCCAGGCTGAACTGAGTACATGTCATCTGAGGACCGCACAAGCGGACTTTCAAATCCCAGAGTTTCTTCCCTGAAACAAAATAGAGGGATGAAGGGGCAAACAGCAGCCAACTGTTCAGAAAAAGCCTCACGGTGCTGTTATGTTTCAAACATATATTTGATTTCCAGATAAAAGGAACAAGTCGCTTCAGCTTTTTATTTGCTTCAGATTTTAGTTTGGACATGTCTCTAAGGAACTTGGCTTGCAATGGGTACTAAATCTTGTCACTAAAGGGGTACCTACATTATTCTGTAATCAAGTTGATTGTTCCTGAGGAATGTAAAAAATAAATAAATAAATAAGAGCCGGCGTCATTCTTTTAACCCAGATCCCCTGCTGGCTAAGAATTCCAGGGGTTGAATGTGAAGCATAAATGCAATAACGTGTCTAAGTATTTCAAAATGTATTAATTTCAGAAGTCCACACTGTGCACTTCGTTCAGGCAGCTCTTCATACAGGGAAGGTGGACAGTATTCTTTGCACTGTTTACAAATATCTAAGTGTTACAAAAATGTTGGTCCATTTTACATTTCTATTCCAACAATCCATTTTCAGGTAGCTGGCTCCCACCACAGTCTCCATAGGAGCAGCCTATTTCCCCAAAGACCTTCTCCTAGCAAAGACTTTGCCTCCTTGTAATGGTAATTGGTGTGAGACAGACAGCTCCTCTTTCATGCTGAAGAAAAGACTGGTTGCAAACCCAAGGGGCAGGGCCCGTTGATAGCGCAGGTGATGGAAAGCATTCCTTGAGGGGAGTCTAGCCAGGTTGACCCAGGTTTTGTCCTCTCACCTTAGAAACTGGATGTGGACTTGGAATGGCGCCCCAGTGTACAACAAGGCAGAGGTTGTTTAAGGCCAGGTAAAGGCCAGGGTTCTGCCACAGATTAAAGCCTAATCATAATAAATCATGAAAGGGTCATCCATCATATTTTGGTGATGTCTAGATTTGCTTATTTTATGAGGATGAAGAGCATTTACATACTGGCCAGAGCTATATTTATGATAGCGGATGAGTAAAGAGAAAGGCATAATTACTTTGCCAGTGGGCCTAAATTAATGCATCTGTGAGACAGAAGTGGGGCATGTTGAGGCCAGCAACTTGGGCCAATATGTTTTACTTATGTGTACAGTGAACCCTCGCCACTTCGCGCTTCGACTTCCGAGGCTTCACTCTATCGCAGTTTTTGCGTAACAGCGCATGTTCTGTAATTACTGCCACTGATTTGCTCATACTGTACATGCTTCTGTCTGCATTGATATGTATCGGAACTATATATCAGATGCATTTTTGCTTTTGTACAGTGTACTGTAATTGTTTGCGATTTTTAAGAAATTTTATCTAAGCCCTATGATGGCTCCTAA